TGCTGACATGGGTCGGACGGACGCATGTGATATCACCACGGAGGCCCTCGGTGGAACTCCCTTTGCGACGACGACGACGAAACGTGTGTGGGATGTGCCGACATAGTCCAGGCGGACGCATGCGAACTCACCATAAAGGCCTTCGGTGGAACTCCTCTGTATAGGGTCACCAAACGTGTGAGGGGTGTGCCGTCATGGGTCGGGCGGGCGCATGCGAACTCACCACTGGGGCCCTCGGTGGAGCCCGATGGGGCCAGGGAACATGAAAGAGGTGTTCCGAAATGGGTCGGGCGGACGCATGCGAACTCATCACGGAGACCCTTGGTGGAGCTCCCGGTCGGGCGGAAGCGTGCGAACTCACCAGGTGGGGTCTTCGGTGGCGTTCCTTATGGGACAGAAGAGTGTGTGAGGGGGGTACCGAAATTGGTCGGGCGGACGCATGCGAACTCACCACGGAGGCCCTCGGTGGAGCTCCCTATGGGGCCACGAAATTGTGCGAGGCGTGTTGGGCCACGAAACGTGTGAGAGGGGGTGCCGAAATGGAAGGGGAGGGCGCATGTGAATTCGCCACGGAGGTCCTCGTGGAACTCCCGATGGGGCCACGAAATCTGTGAGGGGTGCGCCGACAGGAGCCAGGCGGGCGCATGCGAACTCACCACAGAGGCCCCCTCTGAATGGGGCCACGTAGCGTGCGAGGGGTGTGCCGACATTGGTCGGGCTGACGCGTGCGAACTCGCCACAAACGTCCCCAGTGGAGCCTCGCAACGTGCGAGCGGTGGCCCGAAATTGGTTAACCGGACGCATGCGATCTGACCAGGGAGGCCCTTGGTGGAGCTCCCGATGCGACCACGAAGCGAATGAGGGGTTTGCCGAAATGGGCCGGGCGGGCGCATGCGAGCTCACCACGGGGGCCCTGGAAGGCGCTGCCTATGCGACCACGAAGCGTGTGAGGGGTGTGCCGAAATAGGTCGGGCGGACGCGTGCGAACTCACCACGGGACGCGTGCCACGGGGGCCCTCGGTGCAGCTCCATATGGGGCAAACAGGCGTGTTACGGGGGTGCCGAAATGAGGCCGGCTGACGCATGACAATTCACTACGGAGGCTCTCGGTGCAGCTCCCCATCGGGTGGGTCGGGCGGGCGCGTGAGAGCTCACCACGGAAGCCCTCGGTGTAGCTCCCTGTGGGGCCACGAAATTGTGTGAGGGGTGTGCCGAATTCCGACGGGTGCGGAAGGCAGGGGGGAGGGATGGGCGGAGGGGAGGGGAGGAGGGCGCGGAGAGCTGCCTCTTCAGAACGAAGACCTGGCACCACAGGAAGGTTGGAAATTCGCGGACGCCCATGCCGCAGAGTCAGCTGCCAATGCCCTCCCCCCATGATCAAAGTCGGCGGTGGCTCGGATAAGTGCTACTTCGACAGCAATCTTCCCCGCGCGTGCCAACTTTGAGTTTTTGTTGGGGAATGTCCATTAATTGTTTCCTTCTACCGTGGGACCAAGAATGGATGTGAACCGCTTTTGGGGCTCCTTGGCAGGAGGGCTCCGTATGGCGAGTGCAAGGCATGTGTTGTTTGTTCTTCATATTATCCTCCTCCTCCTCCTCCTCCTCCTCCTCCTCCTCCTCTTCCTCCACCTCCCCTCGTCCTCCCATTGCCTTGCTCAGCAGGCGCAGTGGCTGTGAACGCTTGACCTCCGACTCTTCCCGCCTACCGCGCTGGAGGTCGTCCGGCTTCGTGCCCGTGCTCGCGCAGCCGTGCTCACGCACTTCCTGGCGCCGCGGCCCCGCGCGCAGCGACGGGGCGGCGAGGAGCCAGAGAAGCGGGCGCGCACGCCCACACTCATTACCAGCCTGGAACATATCCCTATCCCCATGCTGGGCACCTCCCCATCACGATGCCAGTCTTGGGGATTCCTTCATTTTTTGAGGGCGACTCCCTGAGATTGTCATCGCTTCCTGGCGTGTCAATCTTAGGGATAGGGATACGTTCGAGGCTGGTAAACTCGCGCGCACGCGCTGCCCCCACCCCCGCCACCGCCGCCGCCCCCGGCGACGGGCCGCCGCCCCAAGGCAGGAGCAGAGGCAGGCCCTGGGAGCGGCTCCGGGCACGGGCACGCCGGGCCGCCTGGGCGGCCAGAGGGCATCGGGGCGCGTTTACGCCCCAGCCTCCCGACCTGTGGGCTGCTGGAGCGCCCACGGTTAGGTCGGGCGTGTCCCCCTACAGGGGGATTTTGGACGAAAGTTAAGAAAAAGTCAAAAACATACACAAAAGATGCCCCAAAAAATTCTAAAAATAGTCCCCAGACTATGTTTTGACTCTGTTTGCATATTCCCCCTGTAGAGGGACAGGCCCAACTTAAGCCTACGGTCAAGAACTTTTGGATAGCGCATGGCCACGGCGGCCCTGGCGACACGCTATGCCGCCATGTTTTGGCTTTGCATGATGGGCCTGAATTCCACCACCACCACCATAAGTTGGAAGGGGAGGAGGAGGAGGAGGAGGAGGAGGAGGAGGAGGAGGAGGAGGAGGAGGAGGAGGAGGAGGAGGAGGAGGAGGAGGAGGAGGACCCCCTCCCCCTCCAACTTATGGTGGTGGTGGTGGTGGTGGGAAACGGGCCCATCATTGCAGACGGGTACTGTGTCGCTTCGTTTCGCAGGGTGGGAGGCGGGGAACGGCTCGAGGCGTTGGTGCATGCGGCCTGGGGAGAGCCTTAGCGTGTCGCTCCGAGGCGTGATGGGCCAGAATCGGGTGCACGACGCGCTCAGCCAGTGCTCACGACCGTGCGCTGGAGGAAGAAGCGAACCGTATGAACGGAAGCTTCCCGATGTCCGTGCGGGTTCTTGGATCGGCGCTTCACCCAGGTCCCTGGCGCGCAGAGCGAGCCATGGATGGGCTGTGCTGGAGGCGCCACCGCCAGGGTCAGCGCCGATCCACGGAGGAGTTCGTTGGCTCCTTGGCTGGCCAAGCGACGCTGCGTGTACACCAGGCGCCTCCGAGACCCGTGCAGGCCGCTAGGCGCCGAGGCTCATCGGTGTCAGCACCGCCTCCGACACGGCCATGGACGCCTGCCGCACGATCCGCCGCGTCCGGCGGGCCGCTGCGGAGTCGACCAGGCTGGCCTCGGCCGAAGGGGGGGGCGGCCGTCACAGCTGGCGCCGGCATCGTCGTTTGATGTTCCTCCAGACGGCAGGTTGGACGTCCCAGACCCCCTCGAGGCATGAACGCATCACGACGGACAAGTCCTCGCTACTTTTGGCCTCTGGAGGGCCTCAATCGGGCCTCGGGGCCGTCAAGAAACGACTCGGGATGGCTCACTATAGTCCTCGAGACCTCTGGGGGTCGACGTCATGAAGAAAACATGACGTCGGGGGTCTGGGTTACGACGAAGGAAAAAAAAAAAAAAAAAAAAAAAAAAAAAAAAAAAAAAAAAAAAAAAAAAAAAAAAAAAAAAAAAAAAAAACACGCCCCGACACAGAATGCACACCGTGCATACCGCGGCTGGCACGCCCATCGTGGGCCAGTGGTCCCTGGGTGGCCAGCCTCGTGCATTCGACGAATGATGGCTGCAAGTCGGCGCTCCCTGGTTTTCCCTTCTCGCGGAAAAATGATGTTCCTGGTGTCTTAAGGTGGAGGCAGGATGAGGGTAAGGTTCTGCTGTAGATGCATCGGGGGTCTCTGAATACTGGCGGGCCTGGAATCTGGAGGATGTATCGGGGGTCGCGGCCGTTCCAACGCGTTCCAGGACGCAGTGGCAGCGTTCCGGAACGCTCTGACGCGATTTCATCCACCGTCTTGAGAAGAAACTAGGGCGAAGGTTTGCACACCATTCGGGAACGTCTCTGGCTCCGAAGCCGTCAAAGAGCGACTTGGGATGAGAATCCTGCTCTGGGAAAGTGGTCGAGACCTTGGGGGGGGCCGACTTAGCAACACTTTTCGTGAGCCTCGACGTGAAGACACGAGGCGCCGGATAGTGACAGCAGGAACGCAGCAGAGCGAACTGCGCACGGGTACCACAGCAACGACATGCAATACCGACACCACCAGCGCGGGGCGCCAGGGAGGTAAAACAAGGCTAGGATCGGGATAAATCGCTCCAGAGCGTTCCGGAGCGCTCTCAGAGCGTTCCGGAACGCTCTGGAGCGGCCGCGGCGCCCAATACATCCTCCGAACCCGCCGATTCTCAGAGATTTCGAGTTATCCCGATCCGATTTTGTCCCGATCCTCGCGTCGTTTTAGGAGGGTCCTCCTGGTGGTGCAGTCCGCTCCTCTCGCTCGAAGCACCCCCTAGCCCAAACTACTCGGGGGGGGGGACGCGTCGCGCCAGAGCCCCTCGCCGGAGGTGGCCCCGTCCTGCCGCAGTTTTTTTTTTGCCAGTGTTCTCCACCAAGATGGCCCCAAGGCCCCCAAGACGCCCCAAGAGGAGGCCCCCAGCCCAAGACGCCCCCAAGACGCCCCCAGGAGGCCCCCAAGACGCCCCAAGAGGAGGCCTCCGAGAGGCCCCCGAGACGCCCCAAAGGAAGCTGCGCACCCCACGCGCACCACGAGATCGGAGCTCCGGGTCCCGGGGAGCCTCCCCGCCAGCGGCGGGGCTCGGCTCGAGGAGCTGGCCAGGGTGGGCGCGACGAGGTATATGTCAAGGGGCCCTGGGACGCACAAACAAATGCACACAAACAACAAGATCCCCCACAGTTTCCCATATATCTTCAGGGCGTTTGCCCCCCCCCCACCACTTCCCATGTTTTCCCATATCTTCTGGGGAATCGACGATTCATTGTGTCTGTGTTTCTCTTTCCCCTCCGAGGTCTGGGCGACGGGCTCGGACCGGCCCGTGGCCCTGGGGCCCTCGGGCGCTCCTCTCAAGGCGGGGCCCTCGGGCGTGCAGAGGAGCGCGCGCTGTTTTCCACCACCGCCGGGGCCCCGCAGTGGCAGCGCGGGAGCAGTTTAGGGAGCAGGCCCCCCCTCCCCTGTACTGGCCATCGCTCGGACGTGCATTTCCCGTGCATTTGTTGGCTTCGTGCGTGGCTTTTTCACCAAAGGATCGAAGATGCTCCTCGATGGTCCTCGCCGAGGGAAAAGTGCACACGCCCGAGCGATGCCAAGCGTACTGCCCCGCTGCTGCCGAGCGCCCAGGGGTCTGGACTCCGCCCTACGGCCTGTTGCTTCAACGCGGGCGGGTCTTCATTTTGACGGCCCCAGGAAGCGGTCCCAAGACGCCAAAGTCACGAGCAACGCTGGTCGCCACGTAGACAACTCGAGTGGGCGAGCGCTCTCCCGATAGCCGCGTTCCCACCGCATCGGAGCAGCCAGAGGCGCAACCTATTTGACCGTCTGCAACTAATCCTGCCACTCTGGTCCAAGTCCCCACGCGAAGCGACCGTGACGTAGGCGCGCTTGCACGAATGAGCCTTCGGCATGCCCGAAATGGATATAGGAAATCTTGGTACGGTGCCCAGAAGCAGGTGATATCCAAGTAAGACAGAGGACTTCTGTCCCGAGTGGACAGCGTCCGCGGCGACATCAACAGCGAGCCCTGCTCAAAGTGGCCAAAGGCTGCTGATCATCTTCGCACTGGTCTTTCCGTCCCCACTGTCGTTTTCTCAGGACGCCTGGGCGGCTGCGCCGCTCTTCCTTCCCCCCGTCTGGCCCCTGGGCCATTGTTGGGGCTCTCGCCGCAAACGCCCAAGAGGGCGTCTCCGAGGTTGCCGGAAGATGTCCCCAGCAGCTCGGTGCGGACACCGAATTAGGCGCAACACACACACACACACACACACACACTGCGCTTGTCGCGAGGGCAGCTCCACGAGGCTCCCGAAGCGTCAGACGGCAAGCGGAAGCTGAAGACTGCTCCTCCTCGCATGCCACCTCGGGGGAACCGGAGCCTGGGCCCCTGCCTCCGCTCCTCCGACGTCGAGGCAGGGCGGGGGTGCCGCCTGGTTGAGCCAGAGGGCAGCGGACACCGCCACGGTCACGCCCGCCACGGAGCTGAGGAGCACCTCGCGGATGCGCCCGCCTGGCGGGCTCGGGGCCAAAGCCAGGACCCGGCGGCATCGACCTCGCCGTCGCTCGGACGTCCATTCCCTGTGCCTTTTTCGGTTTCGTGCGTGGTTTTCCCGCCAAAGGATCAAGGATGCTCCTCGATGGTCCTCGCCGAAGGAAAGAGGCACACATCCGAGCGATGCCAAGCGACGCGGGGCATCGGTGCGTCGGATCTGGCCGCACCGACACGCAGCCGGAACCGAATCGGAGCGGCTGCGCGAGGACGCACGCCAAAGGCCGTGCTGCGAGCGTCGGGCTGCCTCGGCTCGTCGGAGTGTCGGAGCCGAGTCCGCCGACCCCTTTGTGGGTCTCCAGGCGTGTGAGATTCTTTCTCCCCGAGAATCCCCCCCCCAGGGGACCCAAACCGCGGATTTGACCCCCCCCCCCGGGCCCGGCCCGAACGCGCCATGGGGGGATAGACGGCCTGAAAACGGGCCAGGAGGCCCCAAGAGATCCCAAGACGGTCCAAGAGGGTCTCGGGTCGGCGGAAGGTCGTTCGAAGACGCCCCCCAAGACGCCTCAAGAGGTCTCCCAGAGGCCTCCCCAGAGGGCGCTGAGAGGCCGAATTCATTGATTTTCTTTTGGCGTTTGGCGGTTTGGGGCTTCCTTGTCTTTTCGGATTTCCGACGCTCTAAGACGGCCCAAGAGGTCTCCAAGACCGCTCCAAGACGGCCGAAGAGGTACCCAAGGGCGCCCACAGACGGCCAAACAGGCCCCCGAAACAGCCCAAGAGACGCCCAAGAGAGCCTACAGAGGGCTCCAAGGCCGCCCCAAGAGGGGCCCAAGACGGGGACCACCAGCCGAGAATGCGAGCCTTCCGCCTCGAGAAGGCCTCAGGGAAGCACAAAAGGCCCCCAAGAGGACCCAAGTTGCGCCCAAACGGCCCCTCAAGAGGCATCAAGAGGCCCCCAAGAGGCCCAAGAGAGGACCCAGGAGGCCTCAAGAGTGCCCGCCAGAGGCCTCGAAACTGCTTCCAAGAGACTCCCGAAAAGCCTTCCACGAGAGTCCAACCAACGCTTCGTCGTCGCTATCGTCGTCGTCGCTATCGTCGTCGTCGTCGTCGTCGTCGTCGTCGTCGTCGTCGTCGTCGTCGTCGTCGTCGTCGTCCGCCCGCATCTAACACTCGTCAATGTCCTCCTTCTCCCCGTCCCCAGCCCTCTCCCTCCTGCTTCTTCCATGATCCCCCCCTCAGAATTCAACAACGGCCCGGTATTGGACAGCGGACGAATTCAAAGGGTCGGCGGGTGTGGCGTAAGCCTATAGGATCGGGTCGAGCCTATAGGAACGTGCCCTGCCTGGTCATGGAATGGAGCGAAATGGAAGTAGGACCTGTCGTCGAAAGCCCGCCAGCCCCAAGAGCAAGAGGGATCACTCCCACCGGGCCTCGTCTGCCAACTGCTCGGAGTGCTTTCGGAGGCGGCGGCGGTGTGCAAGACCGCCGGACTCGAGGCCGAACCCTGCCAGGACCGCCCCTCTCCCCAGACGTGGGGCAAGAGCCTCCGTGAAAAACAACGCGGGTGCAGACCGCGGCTGTACAGACGAGGGGAAGGGGGCATGCAGGAGGAAGGCCGAGGGTAGAGGCTCAAGGATCCAGGATCAAAGCTCGAGGGTCAGGGCTCGAGGCTCGAGGATCAATAGGGGAACGACAAAATGACATACACATAAAAACTCGGTCCGCGCGGATTCCTCGGATCGGCGCGGACCGAGTTTTCATGGGCGCCAGGGGCGGCGCCGGAGGCGCCGCCAAGGGGGTCCAGCGCGAATCTGAGAAATCCGCGACCTCCGAGTGTTTATGTTTATGTCACTCTTCATTCCCCTAATCAGAGAGCCCGAGGATCGAGGATCAGAGCTCGAAGATGCAAGAGGAGGCTCGAGGACCAGGGCTCGAAATTCTCCTAGTCATTCTCCATTCCCCTAGTCAGAGCCCGAGGATCGAGGATCAAAGCTCGAAGATGCAGGAGGAGGCTCGAGGACCAGGGCTCGAAACTCGAGGCTCCCGTGCGAGCCTCCGGCCCTCCTCTGGGGCCCGCGGGGGGTCGGCCTCCCGTCGCCGCGGCCCCGTCCTCCCCCGGCAGTGCAGGGACGCCTCCCACAGCGAGAGAGAGGGAGATGTCCACGGAGCTCTGCTTCCACGTGCGAGAACGCCCAAAAGGAAGGATGAGGATGAGGACGTCGACTCGGATGAGCATGCGGCGGTGGACAGACTCTGTCGGCCGCTAGCTGGTGCCCAGGAGGAGGAGGAGGAGGAGGAGGAGGAGGAGGAGGAGGAAGGGGATGACGAGGAGGAGGAGGACGTCGATGAGAAGGAGCATGAGGAGGACATGGAGGAGGAAGAGGAGGAGGAGGAGAGAAGTCGGAGGCCCCGCTTTCAACCAGAACGCGCCCCCGCAGGCAGCGTCTCTGCAAGATGACCTGGCCTGTAAGAGGACCTGGCCTCGCATGTACACATATAGATGTACACATGCATGCATATGTATATGTATATATATACACATAAATACACACATAGATACATGTGTATGTATGTATGCATGTCGCCGCCAGGGGAGGCCGATCTCAAAGCTCTGCGCGGAGCTCCGCACGTTTCTGCGCATGCCCTCCTCTCTCCTCCGAGCGGTGCCCGGCCCGGCCCGCACACGCCGATGGGAGAGCAGACGCCGAGCCCCCCGGGGGCCGAGCACGCAGACGACGACGGCCAGCGGCGGCGGCGCAGGCCCCGCCGCGACGGCGAGGCTCCCCCCGGGGCGGGCGGCTGGGCGGCCTCCCCCGGCGGCGCCGCCGGCGTCGCCCGGGTCGCCGGAGCCTCCGGGGGCCGGAGCAGGGGTGGCGGCTGCCCGGGCTCGAGGGCTCCTCCAGGAGGGCTCGAGGAAGCGGGGGCTCGAGGAGTCGAGGGCTCGAGGGTTCTCGGGGACTCTGGGATCCCACGCTTCGAGGCCTCTGGTGGTCCCAGGATGGGAGGATGCGAGGATCCGAGGAGACCTCTCTCTCTCTCTCTCTCTTTCTGGACCCCTGGAGGTCCCAGAAGGCCTCCGCAAGTGGATGAGGAAGGCCAGAAGCTGTCAAAGGCATCGACCCCTGATCTTCAAGGAGGACGAGAATATTGAACGATTCTCCACCGGAGACATCCGCCTCCTCATCGTTCTCCTCCTCCTCGTCCTCCTCGTCCTCCTCCTCCTCCTCCTCATCATCATCAGGAGGATGAGGAGAAGGAACTGGATGCTCCTCGTGCGTTTACTTAACATCCTTTTCGGTTTTGCCGTGTGTGTGTGCGCCTGATCCACCGCTCAGCTGGTGGCAGACAATTGCCCATACTCTGGATGTCCATGCTGAGGACGCATCCGTAGGAGAAAGCTTGGGACAGGCACTGCCAGGCAGATATCACTGACTATTGTCCGTCTGGTCCCTCTGGCTACGGCCATCTGGGACACCATTTGGGCAGTCGACCCGCCTGGGTTCTTGAAAGGGCTCTCATCGCCCTACCTTTCCTCGCCCTCTCTTAACCCCCCCGTCTCCCCAGAGAACGAAAAGCAGGAGGGAAAGAACGGATCAGCGGAAGGTAAGAGAAAGAGCGACCTCCTCCTTCCCCTCCCCCTCATGCTCGATCCTCTCGATCCTCGAGGTTATGCCTCCTGAGGCCTCTGGGGACCTGCGGTGGCCTCCGATGGGGTCTCTGGAGACCACCCTGGGACCTAGAGCTAGGGGCGGCCTCGTCCGCCAGTCTGTGCTCCACCAGGGCATCGTGTCCCTGGCGTCTCTGCCGCTCGCGCAGCAGTGACCCCGTCCTCATGACATGCGTTTGGGAGTTCAGGGATTCACGGATGATAGGAACAGGCGGCAAGCGCGGTCGTCGACGACTGGCTCGGAGCCCCCTGGCCGGGCACCTGGGGAGCTGCGCGATACGGCGCAACCGAGCGCGCGCGCACCTGGGCACCTGGGCAGCTGCACAGGAATCACGAGCGCGCGCGGTGGAACCACTGGAACCACGCGGTCGGAGCTGGACATGCGGTGCGTGCTCCCTCGAGCTTCCAGTGCACGGCTGGAATCAAATTCTGTACCATGATGGCCCCCGAGGTCGGCGCGAATCTACTCGACTGGCCGCGCCACCGGGAGTCGAAACACCTGCCCTTGGGCCACACCGTGCCATCAGCATTGGCGGCAACTGCGATGCCACCTCGGTGGCAGGTGAAGCCCAACTTCCTGCCGCTGGACGTCGAGATGGGAGTCCACCGCGTCAAACTCCGCTGACTCCATGCGCTGCTGCGTCGTATTGGCCCTTGCGGTGCCCCCCTTTGGTTCGACATCGGAACAGCAAAACAAGAGCTCCAACATAGTAGCTTCCAGCAATACCGATGTCGTAGCAATGCGTTCCAAGCTATGCCATTCGATCTGTGTATGGTGCAGCGACTGTTGCAAGCTCTGCGGTGCAAGCTATGATGTGCAAGCTACGTGGTGAATGCCATGTGAAGTGAAATATGTGACGCAATGTGTACATAGCAAGCTGTGCGATGCCTTCTGCGCGTGGTGCGAAGTATGTGGCGCAAGCTCAGTCTGCGTTGCAAGCTGTTTGTGGCTAGCGATGCAACGTGAGCTATGCGACGCAATATGTGCGATGCGGCGCCAAAGGGGGCAAGTCGAAACCCCGACGCACACACCTATCCAAAGTCTCAGCAAAGCAACTAAGCACCCCCAAGAGCAAACACTGTTTGGGGAACGTTGCTGGCCAAGTCGTCGACGGAACCTGTCAGAGCTTCCTGTCTGATACGCGTCCCATCCTAATCCCACGGCAGCCGAGCCTCAACGGGAATGTGCCATCCTGATTTGCAGAACATGTCTGCACCTTTCTGACTCACTGGCAGCGAGCACGTCAGTGCGAAGAGTAAGGTGTCGCCCGTGTCGCCGAGAGAGACTACACTCCCTGTGCGTGGCCGTACGGTCTCGTCCTCTCGCTTGTAGACTCCTTGAAAAATGCGATCTTCGATGAAATCGAAATCCTCTCACAAATAAATAGAAACCGCGATATCTAATACTGATCTGTCGTGTCAAGATTAGTGAGCATTCGTCGCGTCCGTCGTGGCAACGAAGAAACGAGACAGCTCCTTTCCGCATTCCGACTGCACGTAAGAGTGGCCCTTCGCAGGAGTGACCTTAGGTGCTGGCCCTAGGGGGGTCGGGTACCTTTTCCTTGGGATTGAGCCCGACTTCGCGCCGGCGTCCGCAGCGTGGGGTTGCGCTCGCGTCTGAGCGCCTCAGGGCAGGGCCGCCCCTCGCAATCGACCGCAACGCATACGCGGCGCATCCTACAGCGCGCGCTGGTTTACCGAAGGGGGAGCAAGTCCACCAAGCGGCGAGTTTTCCGCCCCTGGACCGGTCCCGAATCCCAGCCCCAATTCCAAATCGTCCCGTTAGAAGAAGTCGAATAATCTTAGACTTTCCGAACCAATGAGACTCTGCACGATTGAAAATGACTCTAAGAAACTCAAACATATTCTGAGCCCCCTGGGGGGGCCACCTGGGGCATGACGCCAGGCCTGTTCAGACGTCATGGCGATGCGGGCCCCGCAGCGCCAGACCTCATCGCGGTGGCCCCCGGTAGCGTTTGCTTTCGCAGCGCCTTCGGAATGCCATTCGGGGCGTTGGAATCGAATCGGCGGAATTCCGCGGTTGTCAGCAGGCGCTGAGGATCTTTCGAGGCGCGCCCCGCCGATCGCTGATGCGGTGCGACCGCAGCGGCTTGCGCGGTTGCGTTGGGCCCCCACGGTCGCCCTTAAGCCGCGGGCGAAAGGTCACTCCAGTCTCGGGCCATCCTTGCGTGCATTCGGAAAGTATGCCTTTCATGTGGATTCGCATGGCCGTTTCCCTGGGTTTCGCCCTGACGCGACCCTGGACCCATTCCCGCGGCGTCCGCAGATCAGGTTTACAAGCAGGGGCGCCAGCGTGGAAATGATGGCCCAGGGCGCACGTAACCATGATCACCCTGCCGCCATCGCATTCCAACTGAGCACGCTTCGGAAATCGCGCGGCCTGAGCAGCTTGCTGCGCCACCAGCGTCCTGCGGTCGGTGCTCGTTGACCCACTCGGGATGAGCAAACACACGTCACAACTCAGGAAGGCACGACCATCCGGGCCAATCACGTCAGGATATCAACCTCCAAGCTCGTTTCAACATCGAATTGAAATCCATCATCTCTATCCCCGCCGCCTTTAGCACCTCTTTCGGTTCGCGCCACAACGAATCGATCTTGATTTGAATGTCATCCAGAGTCGCAGGTACTGCAGAGCACCCACCTGCAGCTGCTGGACGCTCCATTCGACTTGCCCATGCCACCGAAATGGCCGCAGACAAGAGCCCGATTGCTGCTTTTCACAACGATTTCTGACAATGAACCCTGGATAACCTCTGGACTAGGTAATGACTTCGCTGTACGCGTGCTTTCTGGAGTTCCTTGACTCGGCGTTCCTCTACGCTCACAAAGTCCTGCCGGATCGTTTGCCATAACTGGCGACTGAGCTATGCGAGCTGCTGGGTCTTGTGATCCATCCAGGAGTCTGAGCTTGCCTTCACCGAAAAGTCACGGCGCTGGCGCCCTTGCTCCAGAAGATGTCCTCGCAGTTCTGCTTTTATTTGGGTGTCTCTGTAAAAAGAAGCGGGTCAGTAGAAACTGGGACTGCAGCTGAGCAAATTACATTCATGAGGGCGCGAAGCATCTCATCCTCCCTCCCCTCTCCTCTGCGCTTCGTGTACTCCTATTCCGCCTCCCCCGCCTTCCTGTTGATAGCTTGGGTAACTTCCTGTCGCTCAACACTATCCTGGCTGCGCAGATTCGTAGAGAGCATCGCGATTGGGGCGTGCTGCACTAGCTGGCATCGGCATGGGTGTAGCTCCTGGTGCAACTGGAGTTTATGATATGCATTGTCTTGGCGCAACGGCCTGAGGCGGTATGCAAGCGGCGAGTATAACGTGCGTGTACCTCACCAGTATGAAACATGCTGGCATGACACCGCGGAGCACCAAAGCATGTTTGATGCTATTCTCGCCCGCTTCCAAAAGGGACTTGCAAAATTATTGTAGTACACGCTGCTGCTACCAAGTTCCGTGCTGCTAAGACACGCCGTATCTCTCTGGATGCTGGCGAGACGCTGCCTGCCACACGGACTCCTCATACATTGCCAAATGCTGAATGCGGAACTCCCCGTTGGGATCAAACCAACATATCGGGGAAACACGGAAATACGCTTGACTGCTTGCAAGTCTGCGTCACTTCTGACATCTCTTTGATACCCAGGGAGGAGAGTGGAGACCAATGGCACCAAGTACGCATCCTGTTTCTGAGCTATGAAAACAAAACCTCTTCCCCACAACTGCGTCGGAGCCGGGAATGCTCGCTGGATGCGGTGTTTTCGACATCTGCTTGACTTGACAAGAATCATGACACCACACGGAGGTGCGTCAGATGGCATATGCCGATGACCTGCTCGACCGCACCTGAAACGATCGGCGATATGTTCTGGTTCTAGCTGTTTAACACGGTTACATGCTGCCGTTCTCACTCTGCTAAAGGGTTGAAGGCATTGGAGATGGAACCGTTGGGTAAGGAATCCAGGGTCCAGAAGCCAGTGGAACTCCAATTGTGGCTTGGCCATGGGATAGCACCGCCGCCCTCATCAGATAAGGAACCCTCTAGGGTCTGCGACCTCTTGGGCGCACTCCTTCACGAACGCGCCCGCCGCATTGCACACGGGTCGAAACCCACGAGTCGCCGAAGACCAGCGGGCATCAGATGTCTGAGCTCCGCCCGAGGGCGGACTGCCGCCGTGGTCGCCGAGGGCGGAGGGGCCCCATCGAGCGTACGGTGCACGCACCCTCCGAGGTGATGGAGCATGGAGCGCGTGCTCAATGGCTCGGGAAGCCTGGAGGAGGAGGAAGAGGAGGAGGAGGAGCAGGAGGGAGAGGGAGCAGAATGAGGAACGGCATGGAACTCGTGGAACACTGAGCCACAGCGAAAGACGCTGACTGCAGCATGAACCCGCAACCATCGGACCGCAGCTGCTCAGGGAGGCCTCGGAGAAAAGACCCGCGGGGCCTCCACCACTGCGATGAGATGTGGATGACTGCCGCGCTCTGCACACGGCGCAGGAGGAGGAGGAGGAGGAGGAGGAGGAGGAGGAGGAGGAGGAGGAGGAGGAGGAGGATGAATAGGAGGAGAGGGGAGGAGCAGGAGAGGAGGAGGAGGGAGGAGGAGGAGGAGGAGGAGAAAGAGGAGGAAGTGGAGGAGGAGAAAGAGGATGAGTAGGAGGAGGAGGGAGGAGGAGAGGGAGAAGGGAGGAGGAGCAGGAGGAGGAAAAGGAGAGGAGGAAGGAGGAAGGAGGAGGAAGAGGATGAGGATAGGAGTAGTCTGAGGAGTCAGAGTTATGAGGAGGTAGAGAGGAGTAGGGAGGAGGAGGAGGAGAATTAGTAAGGAGGGTAGGAGAGGGGTAGGAGGGAGGGTGTAAGAGGAAGGCGAAGATGAGTGTAGGATGAGGAGAGGAGGACGGGATGAAAGGGTAGGGAGGATGAAGGAGGAAATGTAAGTTGAGTAAGGAGGAGGAGGAGGAGGCGCAGCAGCAGCAGCAGCAGCAGCAGCAGCAGCAGCAGCAGCAGCAGCAGCAGCGTGCACGGGGAGGCTGGGGCGACGAAGGGGGCGCCTTGCGCGCCCCGGCCGCGCAAGCCGCTCTGCAGCGCGGCCAGGAGGCCGTCGCCGGCGCCTCCGCCAGGGGGGAGGGGGTTGCCTCCTCCTCCAGGTGGGCCGCTCGGGCGTCCATTCCCTGTGCTTTTTTCGGTCTCGTGCGTGGCTTTTTTTCGCAGGATGGTCCGGGAGGCTCCTTGATAGTCCCCGCCGAGAACAAGTGCACACGTCCGAGGGGTACCAGGGACGGCTCGACGAGGTCCACGGAGGAGGAGGGCGACGAAGAGCACGGCCTCTAGTCTTTCGCCGCAGGCGCTGCAGCAGGAGCTGACATCCCATGCGCTGCTCTCGGAGCTCCCGAGGCCAGCGTCCGCCGTCACGCCATAGCCCACGAGCAGCGCAAGCTCACGGAGGATCGGAAGGGTCTTCCCTGCAGGAGGCAGGCGTTGTCGTCGGCGGCGTCGGCGTCGGCGTCGGCGTCGGCGTCGGCCTCGTCGGCCTCGTCGTCGTCGTCGTCGTCGTCGTCGTCGTCGTCGTCGTCGTCGTCGTCGTCGTCGTCGTCGTCGTCTCCTGGGCGGTCGTCGTCCGGCGGCCATCATCACGTCGGTCGTAACGCCAGCGCTGGCGCCTGTGGTGGATTTGGCCCCTCCATCCCGCCGCGCATACTGCAGGACGTCGTCGTCGTCGTTGTCGTTGGCGTTGCTGTCCTCGCCGTTACGTCGACGTCAACGTCGGCGTCGGCGCCCTGCCCCTCCATTTCCTCCTCGCCTATTCCTCCTCTTCGAGGTCTTCCTCATCGCGTCTCCTCCGTTCTCTCCTCCTCCTCCTCCTGCTCCTGTTCCTGCTCCTCTTGCTCCTGCTCCTCCTCCTCCTCCTCCTCCTCCTCCTCCTCCTCCTCCTCCCGTCTTACATCATCGTCCTCTGAATTACTCGTTCTCCAAGCCCCCACCATCATCATTCTCAGGAATCCTCATCGCCATCCTCCTCCTCTGCGCTCATTCCTCGTGCCTTCGAGGCTCATCCTCCTCCGCCTCTGCCGAAATATACTCACATCATTCCCTACCTCCTCCCCGCACCCCTCTCCCTCAGGTCCCCTGTTTCGCCCCACCAGTCCCCCCGAGATGCTCTCGACGCTGCTAGCCTGGGGGCCCAAGCCCAAGGCTCAGAAATACGCCGCCGCGGCCCTTCTCCAAGTCCTCATGCTCCTGCTACTCCTCCTCAAATTCCTCCTCCTCCTCCTCCTCCTCCTCCTCCTCTCCTCCCGCCGCCTCCTCCTCCTCCTTCCTCCTCCTCTCCTCCTGCCTCCTCCTCCTCCTTCCATCCTTTCCTCGCTCCTCCTCCTCCTTCGCCTCCTCCCCTCCACTCTTCCTGGCGTCCTCCGTATCGCCCCTCCTCCAACTTTCCAACTGACTCCCTCCTTAATCAAACTCCCTCCCCGCCTCCTCCTCCTCCTCCTATCCATCTGCTCCTCCTCCCCTGTTGTTATCATTATTACCTCCTCCGTGCTACTCCTCCTCATCCTCATCATCCCCATCTCCTCCTCCAACTCGTTCTTTCCTCCTCTCCTCCGCCTCCTCCTCCTCCTCACTCCTTCCTCCCCCTCCTCCATCTCGCTACTCGACGTCGCATCATCCATCCCCGTCCTTCGTCGTCCTTCTCCTCCCACGTCCCTCCTCGTCCTTGTTTTCCCCTCCTCTCCTCCTCTTTCTCCTCCTCCTCTCCTCCTCCTCCTCCTCCTCGCTCCTCCTCCTCCTCCTCCTCCTCCTCTCCCTCCTTTCCTCTTCCTCCCACCTCCTCACTCCGCACTCTCCTCCTCCTCCTCCTCCTCCTCCTCCTCCTCCTCGTCCTCGTCCTCCTCCTCCTCTTTCTCCTCCTCGTCCTCCTTTTGCTCCTCGCTCTTTCCCCCCTTTTCTCTTCTCGTGCCGCCCGCACGCACCCGCGCGCGCGCCTCGGAAGCGCGCCCGCCTGGCCGGCTGGAGGCCCGCGCGTGTGGGCCCCAGCGCCCCGCCCCCGTCCAGTCGATAACTTTTGCATGTGGAGCTCCGAGTTTTTGTGTTTCTACCATTCTTCGTTCCCCTAGCCCCCCGTACTCCTCCTCCTTCTCCTCCTCCTCCTCCTCCTCCCTCCTCCTCCTCCTCCTCACTCCGCCCCCTCCTCCTTCCTTCCTCCTCCTCCTCCCCCCTACCTCCCCCCTACCCCCTCCTCCTCTCCTCCTCCTCCTCACTCCTCCTACCTCCTCCTTCCTTCCTCCTCCTCCTCCCCGCTCCTCCTCCTCCTCCTCCCTCCTCCTCCTCCTCCTCCTCCTCCTCCTCCTCCTCCTCCTCGTCTGGAAGTGGGCACCAACACCGAAACAGGGGGGGTGCCTCAACCGGGGGAAGGTGGGTCTGGATTTTGGCGCTGGCGGTAATTTTTCCGCCCCCCAGAGGACCGAATCTTACTACAATCGCCGAGATCGGGAGCACCTCCCCTCGGCGGAGGCACAACGCCGATATCAAGGAAACCAACAACGACATAAACGTAACAACTTGGAGGTCCGCGCGGATTTCTTGGATCGGCGCTGGGCCCCCCTACACGCTACCCCAAAAGTTCCCGACGGCATACAGTCACCACATACCTGCCAACAAAAAACCTCTTGGGGCACACTCTCAGTCGGTCTTTGAGCGTCCCGGGGGTGCCCCCGAGCCCCAGAGCCTCCGCAGGCCCCCCCAGCCGACGAGGGGCAGCGCTCGGCGGCGCCTGCGCCGGGAGCCGCGAACGGCAGCGGCGGGCACCCCCTGCGGCTGGCAGGCCAGCACACGGCTGCCAG